GAATCCATATAGCGGTTTGGGAGAAAGACGCAGTCCTGTATTCAACAACCAGATATAAAATATTGTTATCCTTTTTAACACATTTGAACTTTTCGAGTTATTATTTTATTTTCTTTTACATATACTTGTGCGATATCACCTTTTATTCGAACTCGACTTGCATTACGGCCCGGACGACTGATTGATTTCGTCTACCTAAGATCAAATCACAACGTGGGTAGGTTAGACTAGAAATCAAAGCAGTTACTTCGGTAACCAGACGTTGGAGGCGAGCTTGGGAACGACAAGGCTGATATCGAATCTAACCAGATTCCCATCCGAATCACCAAAAGGTTAGAACGTCACATTTGGTGCCGCGACCAATACCAAGCCAGTTGGTCGTCACAGGACAGGACAACGACGGACGCAGACAGGCGGACGTCACTTGATGTTGTATTCAGACAAAACTAAGACGTCATATATATATATATATATATATTTTATTTATATATATATTTATATATAAATATTATGCGCCAATAAATATAAATATATATAATTTGATATATTTCATTCCAGACATATTTTTATTTAATATAAATATATACCAAAAAAATATATATATATATATATATATATATATACATATATATACTTTTATAATAAAATTTCTCCATATATATATATACACACATTTAAATACAATTAGTTTATAAATGCTGGATTAAATTAAATAAATATATAAATACATAATATATATATAAATTTTTATATGAATGCATATATCATATATTTATATATATATATTTTATATATATATATATATATTATAAATGAATGTATATATCATATACAATTTGAATATAATATATATACATATATATATATTTTATTTATATATATATATATATATATATATATATATATATGGTTATATATATATATATATAAATGATGACAAAATTTATATCTATACAAATATGCATGTACCATATATAATATATATATATATATATATATATATATATATAAATATATATATATATATATGAAAATATATATATAAAAAATATATAAATATATATCTTTATATTTAAAATATATATAAAATTTATAAATTTATATATTTTGTTATATATATTATATATATTTATTTATATTTATATATATATACATGTATATACATATTTATATATATATATATATATTTATACATATATATATATACATATATATATATATATATATGGATTTTATATATATATATATATATATTTATAAATTAATTAATTTTAGATATGATTTAATGTTTCCAGTAAGAAGAAAATTGACCTTTCCAAAGATTAATAGGCCCATATAATGATTCTTTTCTGCCTGTTTTTTTATTTATTCATCACATTATCTGCGCATGCGCGTCGTTTGATGATTTTTTCTTTAAAGCTATAATTTTAGTTTTGATTCCTTCTGAAAAGCACAATACATTTAATTCATAAAAAATTGAATTGAACCGTCTTTCAAAAAAAGAAGTTATCGTTTCAAAATGTCGTTTTTTTTTTTTTTATTTTTTTTTCAAATGAAGTCTGATTTCAATCCTTGATAAATTCCACCCAGGCTGAAACTTAATTAGAAAAAAGCAAAAAAAAAAAAAAAAATTTGACATATTTTAATTTAAATTGATGGGGGGGGCGGATTTATAAATTAAAATAAAAGGTTGGCGTTTTAAAAAAGAAGAAAAAATTAAAAATCCAAAAAACAGCCAAAATCAAAAAAAATTTCATGTTTAAACCGTTAAAAAGAACAGGCAAAAAAATTTGAAGGCTAGAAAAACAAAATTGCAATATTAGCGATTTCAAAATAAATATCAAATATACATATAAATATAGATGGATATTCTAATAAATAAATAACCTCGAAATAAAATGATTTTTTTAAAAGAAATAAATTTTTAAATAAAACTCTAAATGCCGAAGGATTTATGATAAAGAAATAAAACATTTTCAAATATATGTATAAATATATATATATTTCATTCTGAATAAATATATTATTGCGAAAGTATGATTGTTGAAACAGATTCTTTGAAAATTGTTAATTAGATAGCCCACCATAAAAGGGGTAAAACAAGAAAATCAAATTTTAAAGTAAAACAACAAATTTATATATATATAAATATATTAAGGTTTTTACATATAAAATTAATGTATTTTGTTGATACAATTAATCAAAATGTTCGTAGAAGTCTTTGTAAGAATGAGTTTATTATATATAGGCAGAAATATAAATATGTGGATGTATGTATATGAGCGTTAACGTAGTGTAGAAATGTTTTTGAAGTTATCGCTCAGTCTTAAAATGTTCCGTTCGTTTATCAACTATAAAAAGAGGGAGAAAGGTATTGATAATAATAACGATCGCTTGACGTTTGTCAAATGGTGTTTAATACGCGTCGTCTATATAATTTGAAAGATGTTTTTTATTTTGTTTGTGGGGCTTGAAAGAGGTCATTTGGGAATCAATTTTGGATATGATTGGGCCTTTCCATTGACGACGAAAAAAATTATAATGTTGCTCATGAAAAAGTATCCAAAAGAATTTGTTTCTGAGAATAAAAATTATTTGAATTTTGTTTTAAATGATTCAACAGTTTTTAATGGCAAAAAATCATTTCGCATCAAAGGTAAAATTTCACGTTTTTTTTTTTGATTTGCTTTTGCGTTTTGTTAACAAAGTTAGCAAATTCAAGAATTTTTAATTTTAAAAAAATCAATTTATCATTATTTATATTTTAAATACCAATATTAAAAATAGATTGTATATAAATATAAATATAAAATATAATATTAATATAAAATATATGTAACAGTCGACAGGAAAAATGAATATATAATATAAGGCCGCGAATATAAATATAATCGGCTCTTTTATATATATGGGTCAGTAATGACGCATTGTGGGTAATCTATTCTGATGGTTATTTTTTTGGGAATATAAATTGTTTGTTTATTTATTTAATTGTTTGGGTTAATTTTTTTTTTTTCATTTTCATTTTGTATTTATTTTTTATTTTCATTTTTTTGATGTTTTTGAGTTTGTAGTAAAAAAGGCGGGTGGATTTGCTTAGGTCACTTATTTAATAAAGTCTTGGTCTGTTCGCGTATTTTACTACATTTAATTTTTACAAATATGTAGGGAACATGATATAAATATATACATAAAATATATAATCTATATCTTTCTAAGATTAATATATTTCAATTTTGAAAATGGCTAAATGTATAGCTGTTTAAAGAAAAAAAAAAAAAAGAATTTTCATGTTTTTATAATTTATTTATCTCCGAAAATTTATATTTTTGTAAAATAAAAATTATAAAAAAAATAAATACATGAGAACGAAAATAAAAAAAAAAAAAAAAAAAAAATAAACCTTTTATTTTGTATATTCAATATAAACATGAGAATCAAATAAGGATTACAGCCCAAATACACACACACACATACATACACATACATACATACCCACACATATAATTATATATATATATATATTAACTGAATTACAAACATGGCTCCATCGACACACAGGAATTACCATGTTTTAAAAACATAAATTAAGTTGTTAGTTTCTGTAATTCCTGTCTAGCGATGGAACCATATTTTTAAATCAGTTAATTTATAATATTTATGCACTGTACATTTACATTGAGCACTGTTTTGTAAAAATAAAAATATCAATAAGAACACCGGATTATATATCTTACTGTTCTTTCTTTCTTCTTACTATAAAAAATACACACACACACACACACACACACACACACACATATATATATATATATATATATATATATATATATATATTGTATTAGCAAAATTGTATATTGTTTTACAAATTATTTCTCTCCTGAGTGCTGTGTTGTGAATAAATTTTTGGAGGTATATATATATATATATATATATATATATATATATAAATTATTTAAAAAAAAAAAATAATAACATAAATATGTTATAAAATCAAAACAAAAATAGCCATTTTGTTTCAAAACACTCTGTGTCTTATCAATGATGATGTTGAAAGATAAAATAAATGGTTTTAAAAGTTTCAAATTAATTAGCGATCCTTCACTAGGGGGAAACATTGTTACAAAAGCTAGAATAACCAATCAAAATCCAAGTATGGGAAGATTCAAAAGCTTGACAACGAAATCATGTTATAATAGCTATTTAGATCTTTAAAATACGGGTTATATTAAAAAGAGTTTATACTAACCAATAGTTATAAAATTATATGATGAAATTTAATATTAAATTTAAAATAAAAACTGCCAATTTTAAAATCCAAATTTAATCACTATTAAGTTTAAAAACTATAAAATTATTGAGAAAAAAAAAAAAAAAAAACTAATTAAGACATGCGTGTCCGTCAACCTCAAACAAATTTAAATTCAAACCTTTGTCAATTTTATTTTTCAGTCTTTATGATGGTCGATACTTGATCTATCTCTTACTGTTACATCCCCGGGCAACGCTATCGACTGATAGTTTAAATATATACCCCTTAAATTTGACATTATATATTTCTAAACGTGGGTTAAGTATTGCAATCGCATCGCGGAAGAGGGTGGAGTCTTGGTCCTCGACAGCACATATGATCTTATCATTGTTTCCACAATAGGGCGACCACACGCAGACGGAATTTGAGTTGCGGAAACAGTAAGAAGTTAGATGGAGCTGCGACTGGCGAGTAAGGGAGATAGGGTCATGCCTCCTTCATCTACTGCTACCTGAGCAGTTTGAACAGAATTTATTTGGAACAAGTTCAGAATTGCCATTTTTTCCCCTCTGATAAAATTGAATTTGATTTTTTTCCATTAATTGTCTTAATTGTCATGCATAGTTAGAAAATTTTTTTTTTCTTCGGAGTCATCGGTTTCCTTTTAAATCAATATTTTTTTTTGCGGATACTTTTGAGTGGATTGTCCATTTGTTTTAATCTTAAAAAACCTTTGTATATTCCTAACCTAAGATAGATAGATAGATAGATAGATAGATAAACGGATGAGATAGATAGATAGATAGATAGATAGATAGATAGATAGATAAATAGGAACAAACTGTATTATAAATATAAATGAGATAGATGATAGATAGATAGATAGATAGATAGATAGATAGATAGATAGATAGATAGATAAATGGAATGACAAGATTATAACATTTAAACAAACTGAGATAGATAGATAGATAGATAGATAGATAGATAGATATATATATATATATAACATATAGATAGATATATAAATATGAGATAAATAGATCATAGATAGATATATAGGAACAAACTGAGATAGATAGATAAATGGAATGAGATAGATAGATAGATAGATAGATAGACAAATAGATAAATATAGATAGGAACAAACTGAGATAGATAAACGGAATGATGATAGATAGATGATAGATAGATATGGATAGATAGATGAATAGATAGATAGATAAACGGAAATGAGATAGATAATGGGAATAGATAGATAGATAGATAGATAGATAGATAGATAGATAGATAGATATAAACAATACTGAGATAGATAGATAGATAGATAGATAGATAGATAGATAGATAGATAGATAGTGTTATTATATTCTATCAAATAGATAGATAGATAGCACATTGATCTTAGAGATTAAGAAATTCTGAATACGACGATCACAACCAGGTGGGATTTGAGTTTAGAAAAAATTTATTTTGAATGAATATTCAAATATATTTATAGGGGATGGATCAATAAAATTTTTTTCCAAATGAATAAAAAATGACCATTGAACGGGCGCGTTATTCAGATCAAATAGCACACCTGACCTCAGATTTTTTTTCGTTTCGATTTTTTAGTTGTTTTAATTCAATACATCAAATACTCACAATTGATAGTAACATTATCAATTACGCCGTCAGAATATATATATATATATATATATATATATATATATATATATATATATTTTAAATTATTTACAAAAAATTTTGTCTTCATCTTTGTCGCCATATTTATTATAAATTTTTCCGTCTGTCTATCCGGCCTTCTTTTAAAAAATGTGGTTGGAATAATAAATTTATTTAAATTATAGGTATGTTTATTAGTTCCATTGCCATGTTTAACTAAAACAATCTACCCCAAAAAATAAATATGATATTTTTAAATAAAATTTTAACAAATCCAAACAAATGAAATATAATATATATATATATATATATATATATATATATATATATATATATATATATAATATAAACAATAAATCATTTAAAAAATTTTAATTTTTCTGTATTAAATAGAGAAAAATTCTATTTTTAAAAAATAAAATATCTATTTTTTGAACAGTTTTAAGTTTTTTTTGTTTGATTATATTTAAATCAAAATATATGGGTTTCTCTTTTAAATACCGAAATATATATTATAAATGAAAGGCAATTCTGAGAATAAAATAAGATAGATTCAAAAAAATTTTTTACAAAAATTTTCTTATTGTAAAAATATTTTTTTAATTTTATAATTAAATTTGTTTGTTTTAGTTTCTGTTTTTTTGAAAAAATGATTAATTCGATGGTGTGAAGGGACAATTTAATTTATATTTTTATTTTATTTAGTTAATTTATAATGTTTATAAATATATTCAAGAATTCAAAGAAAACCAAAAAGTAACAAAATCCATGAATTTTTTGCCACATTGTGTTTCAATGAAATATTATGTATCAATGTGGTAAGCATTTTTAAAAGAATTAAAACTATTGATAAGATTCTTGCCCTGTTTCCGAATTGCATCAAGTGTTAGTTGATATGTTCAACTTTTGAAAAAAAAATAATCAAAAGTCTTTTTTTTTAAGATTATTTTCCCAGCCAAAAAAAAGAAAACAAAAAATTTTTTTTCGAACTCGGAAAGGTCACGCATTTAACTTAAATTTTAATAAATTTAAAAATAAATAAGAAAATTTAAAATAAATTAATAAATAAGGTTATAAAAAATACATATAACCTGCAATTACGAAAGTTTTATTAAAAAGTTCTTAAAATAATAGGTTTTTTGAAATATAGAAAACAAAGATTAAAAAATTTTCAAATTTTATTTATGAATAAATATTAAATATAATTTATATATATATATATATATATATATATATATATATTATATATATAAAAATATTTAAAATATGTTGTTAAATGTGTGTTTTTTTTGAAAAATAATGGAAGATTGGAAAGAACTGGTTAATTATTTTTAAAGTTCCTTAGTATTTTTTGAATTATTATTTTTAAAAAATATATATATTGATATATAAAATAGATATATAAATATAATTATTATTTTTTAAAAATATGATTCCGTTTCGACATAAGAGGTCTCATGTTTCAAAACAAGAGCCGAAAACTTCAATATAATTATTTGAATTAAATTGAGTTAAAGTAAGCTCTGTTCCATCTTCAAGCGATTTTTTTTTTTTTTTTTGAATAATTTATTTTTGAAATTTACGTGTTTTAATAATTGAAATCAAAAATTTCCATGGTAACAGCTAGGGCGAATTGTTTAAATTGGGTAGGCGTGTGTTGGGTGTTAATAATAAGTATCAGTATAGAGTTACTTTCATAGATGTCAAGTCTATTAAGGTGGGGGTGTCTAAATTTGAAACGGAAGATGTTTTAGCCTAGTCTGGTTTACGTGAATATGGAGATTTATTTTTTTTTTTATTTTATTTTTTATGAAAAGGATTTGTGCATATAAAAAAACTGCCGTAACATTTGTTTTTTTGACGACTTCATAAAAGGGTTATTTTTTGTAGGGTATTTAAACTATTTATTTTGGCTATGGATTATAAAAGTTATTATATTGTATTTTGATTTTTTTTAAAATTATTCAAACCATGAATTTGATGATGTCGACAAAAAACCGTTAACTCATGTCTATTGTTTAATAGATTATTATTATTTAGAAAAATAATAATGTGCAAAGAAAATTGGTTAAGCAAAAATATAAGAATAGGTCATTAAATTTTATAAATGTATAATCCTTTTGAAAAAATTTTGGTTTTATTAACCCTTGGAAATATATATTTATATATAGGTAAATAAAAATTTTTTAGATGCATCAACAGTGGTCTTGAAAATTTTTTATCATCATAGGATTTCAGGTTTGGCATAAAGAATATCAAATCCGACAGCAAAAATGACCTGAAAGAAAGACGAGTAATTATTTTATTTGTGTTTGCATCGATTTTTTTATAAATCAAAAAAAACAAAAAATTTCTATTCAAAAATATATAAATCTACATAGCTTTGAATAAATACAGAAAATTATTCAAAGTCGAAAAAAAAGATTCAGAAATTTTAATTGAAGGAAAGCAAGAAGAAAGGACTATTTCAAAATTTTATTCAAAAGGCAGAATGCCGGGTTGTTAGCAAAAGGGGTGCAGATTACAAACTGGGGATACCAACATCAAAAACAAAATGTTTGCAACGATTGAATTTTTTTTTTTGACAGAAAAAAAGATTAAATTAAACTTATTAAAGACATTTTTCAAAAAAAATAAAATGTATTATAAACAGAAAAGACTTCTTTATAAGAAAATGATTTCTGTTTTATAAAATGAACGCAAGTTCCAATAATGCAGCGACTGCTGAAAAATCAGTCTCACAGAAAAAAAAAGGAAAAATGAAACAGCAGAAATATAAATTATAAAGAAGGAAATATGGGAATACCATAAAAAGCATTAAAATCAACAACGAAGTTTTAGAGGAAACGGAAACAGAAAAAAAAACTTTTCTTAACATTTTTTAAAGGGGAAAGGTTAAATTTTAGGTCATATAATGAGGAAATAAATTGACGGAAAATTAAATTTTAAAGGACAGATAAAATAAATGGTGCAAAAGGAAAAATTTGCATAACCATCCTAGAAAATTTTTTTTAAATGATTTGGAATTAAATGAAAAAGGGAAAAAAAAGGACAAAATTCATTAACATGAAAATTTGACAAAAAACATGAAAATTTTGTGGAAAGCCATTTATATTCACATCCTACACGATTCAGTACATCTAAATAACATTTATGAATAAATATATATCATTATTAGTTTCAAATATTTGTTCTTAAATAATAATCTCTAAAATTTAGATTTAACTTTAACCAATAACAATCATAATTATGAAATAGTTTATTTATATCAATAAGAATATTATATTTTACAAATATATATTTATATAAATTATACTTATTACCTTTCTTATTTGAAAAAAATTTTTTACGGATGATAATATTTCATCCCATAAATTGTGTTTATTTTGAATAAAAAAACAATTGACCAAATTTAAATTTAATTACAGATTCAATCAAAATGGATTTTCCCTGATTATTTTTTATACTTTTCCTTCCATCTATTAACAATATTTATAATATATATATATAAAATGTTTTATTTTTGATTATAGAACTATCAGGTCATCCCATAAGTTCTGTCTGAATTTTGAATAAAGAAAACAAGTGACCAAATGTTACATTTAATTACAGATTCAATCAACAATGTATTTTCCCTGATTATCTATGACTTCCTTCCATCTATTAACAAGCTTACTAATTCCATTACTGTAAAATTCTTTTGGCTTTGATTCGAAGAACTCACAAATGTCAGTTTTAACCTCTTCCTGTGTTACAAAAGCTGTTTCTTCCAAATGATTCTGTAAGCTACGAAACAAATGGTAGTCTGAAGGAGCAAGATTGGGAGAATAAGGTGGATGAGGAATTTCTCTCAAACCAAGTTCTTCGATCTTTTGTGACGTGATTCTTGCTGTGTGTGAGGTCGCGCATTGTCCTGATGAAACATCACCTCTTTTCGATTCACTAGAGCAGGTCTTTTTTTCCTCAAAGCTTGGTTCAAACGCTCTAATTGCTGACAGTATATTTGAGCATTAATTGTTGCATTAGGTGGTAAGAATTCAAAGTGGATTATTCCTTGGCGATCCCACCAGATTGAAAGAAGAACCTTTTGCCCATGAAGTTCCCTTCTCGGCTGTGGCTGGGGTCCTTCCCCTTTACCAAACCACTGTCTATGACGCTTAACATTTCGATAAAAGATCCATTTTTCGTCGCTAGTCACAAGTCTATCTAAAAAAAGTTGAAATAAGTTGGCGAGAATGGAGAGAAGAGCAGATGTCAACTCGGGATTTGAGGTTGTTTTCAGACAATTCACGAGGCACCCACTTTCCAAGTTTAGGAACTTTTCCAAGTTGTTGAAAATGACAATGAACAGTTGTATGGTTTGAACTGAGAATCACTGCCAATTCCTCAACTGATAAAGCAGGATTTTCTTCAAGGGCTGCTTCAAGAAGCTTTTCATCAAACTCAACTGGACGTCCGGTTCGATCTTCATCTTCAAGGGTGAAATCTCCACCTCTGAATTTTGCAAACCATCTTCTGCAAGTTCTTTCATTCACACATTCCTCTCCATAAACTGAGTGAATGTTTCTAGCCGCTTCAGCTGCTGAGTTTCCTTTCTTGAACTCATAAAGCATTATGTGCCTCAAATGATTCTTGGGTACTTCCATGTTAGCAGGGTTTTAATCAAACAAAATTTAATTTTATTGTTCTCTGAAATAAAATTTGATCAGTTTAAATGCATCTAAACATAAA